TGTCCCTGGGAGTGTTTGATGGGGGACAGTGTAGAGGAAGCTTTACTCTGTGTCTAACCCCATGCTGTCCTTGTCCTCGTAGTGTCTGATGGGGTGGCAGTGTAGAGGGAACAGTTTAAAAGTATAGAGTGAGCTCTCAGAGGGTCAGCGCCGAGGGAGCGGGTGCTGTCGGAGGGTCAGCGCCGAGGGAGCGGGTGCTGTCGGAGGGTCAGTGCCGAGGGAGGGGGCGCTGTCGGAGGGTCAGCGCCGAGGGAGCGGGCGCTGTCGGAGGGTCAGCGCCGAGGGAGCGGGCGCTGTCGGATGGTCAGCGCTGAGGGAGCGGGCGCTGTCGGAGGGTCAGCGCCGGGGGAGCGGGCGCTGTCGGAGGGTCAGTGCTGAGAGAGCACCCACAGCTGATCGGGACAGTTCCTAGGCCCTGCTCCCATTCAAAGTTACAGCCCCGTATGTGATTATGTTTGTAATTATGAGCGTTCTTAACTTGATCATCAGTCAAATGGGGAATCATCTCAGTGGGTGGAGGGTGAAAGTGAAGTCTGTTTTCCGTTCTGGTGACATATTGTTATCCCTGAAACAAGATTGAGACAAATAAAATGGCACGAATAATTCTCCATTGCTGCTGGTCAGAGGTTGGCTTGCACAAAATGGTCCCCCCCTCCACCTTCTCGCTGCATCACTCATGATAACACCCCGAGATATATCGATCAACTGGCAATTTGGATTTTCAAAGCTTGTCAAAGACGCAGCAGGAATTTAAAGGAGAGCATCGGATGGAAATTAGAGGCTTCCGGATGATCAATAGAGCTGGTTGAGGCCTAACGATGTCGGCCATCTTGAAGCCCGGCAACAAAGTGAAGGTGGCAGTCCGGGCTCACCTGGTGGGTGAACTCGTGGGCCAGCACCAACGTCATGGCTTGCAGGCTGCTCTCCGATTCCTCCTCTGCGTTGTAAAGCAGGTTCGCCTCCCGGAAGATGATGAGGCCCCAGTTCTCCATTCCACCGCTCTCGAAACTGGGCACGGCGATCAGGTCTGAGGAGATCCCAGAAAGCCACGGTCAGTCATGGGGTCCTACAGCGCGGGAACAGACCCTCCGGCCCAACTCGTACGCGCCAACCTGGCATCCCAATCCGGCCTAGTCCCATTTGCCAGCATTTGGCCCCCTATCCCTCTAAACCCTTCCTATCCATGTCCCCATCCAGATGCCTTTCAAATGTTGTAACTGTACCAGACTCCACCACTTCCTCTGGCAGTTCGTTCCACACACGCACCACCCTCTGCGTGAAAACATTTGCTCAGGTTTCCTCCCATGGTCCAAAGATGTGCAGGCTAGGCCGAAGGGGCCGTAAGAAATTGCATCCAGGGCTAGCTGGTTTAAGCTGTGGGAAATGTGGGGTTACGAGGATAGAGCAGGGGGTTGGGTCTGGGTGGGACGCTCCTCGGAGCGTCGGCGTGGATGGGCCGAACGGCCCGCTCCCACGCTGTAAGGGATTCGAAAGTCTGTGTCCTGTCCTGGTTTGTCTTTCCAAAGTGCAGCGCCTCGCGTCTATCTAAATTAAACTCCACCTGCCACCCCTCGGCCCATCTGATGGGTCCTGGCCCTGTCACCTCACAGCCCAGCGCCCCACTTACCCATCTTGGTCATTGGGTAGGAGATGTTGAACTTGTTGGCAAAGAATTCCAGGAGTTTCCCAACAATCTCCAGGGCATAGTCACCCTGCCCGGCCTGAATCACCTCTTTACGGCCCCAGACCCTGAACTGAAAAGAAATGGTTAGAGGGTACACCCGAACTGAGGACAAAATCTCTTCGCGATCTCTGTTCACCCCAGAGCAGCCACATTCCAAGCCCCATCGACACCCCACGTTTGGTCTCCCAGAATCCCGCAGCACAACGGGGGGAGGCGATGGCGGACATTATAGCTGGACCGTTCGTCTAGAAATTCACGGAAAGTTCTGCAGACCAAGGTTCGAATCTCACCACAGCAGGTGGCGGAATTTGTGTTTAATACGACTTTAATGATGGCCATTCTCAATTGTCAGGTAAGTCTGACCTGGGCGTGGGGGGTGGGGTGGGGGAGGACAGTGTAGAAGGAGCTTTACCCTGTATCTAACCCCGTGCTGTCCCTGTCCCTGGGAGTGTTTGATGGGGGGGACAGTGTAGAGGGAGCTTTACTCTGTATCTAACCCCATGCTTTCCCTGTCCCTGGGAGTGTTTGATGGGGGACAGTGTAGAGGAAGCTTTACTCTGTATCTAACCCCGTGCTGTCCCTGTCCCTGGGAGTGTTTGATGGGGGGGGACAGTGTAGAGGGAGCTTTACTCTGTATCTAACCCCGTGCTGTCCCTGTTCCTCACTGATGCCCTTTCAGGGAGGAAATCTGCAAGCCTTGGCTGGTCCATGTGACTCCAGACCCACGAGGTTTGCTCTTAACTGCCCTCAGGGCAATTGGGGATGAGTAAGAAGTGCTGGCCTGGCCGTGACTGTATAAAAGAAGAGAAGGCCATTCAGCCCCGTGCTAGCTCTGAGAAACAGCTCTCCAACTTGTTTCCCACTCCCTATGCACACCACCCCCCCCCCCCCGCCCCACCCCCCCCCCGGTCTGTATCCTCCAGTACCCCACAGCTCCTGTGACTCTTCACCCCTTCTGGAGTGTCTTTAATCTGCCCCCCCCTCAGCACACACACCCCTGTCCTTATTCGTCTGGATCCAGGGCATTTGGAGGCCTATTCCTCCTTCGTTTGTGTCCTGGGCACCCTCCGACCGATCCCACTTCCCCTCCCGCTTTCCCCCACAACTCCCTTTCCCAGTCCGTCTCCGATTCTTCCCCCCGTTCCTGGTGAATCACGTCTCCCCTCCTCGCTCCAAAGCGCACCAGCCTCGCTTCTCTCCCCCAGAATGGCCTCTTCCTGTGCCATAGATGGGCGGAATGGCCTCTTTCTGTGCCCTGGGTGGGTGGAATGGCCTCTTTTTGTGCTATGGATGGGCAGAATGGCCTCTTTCTGTGCCACAGATGGGCAGAATGGCCTCTTTTTGTGCCATGGATGGGCAGAATGGCCTCTTTCTGTGCCATAGATGGGCAGAATGGCCTCTTTTTGTGCCATAGATGGGCGGAATGGCCTCTTTCTGTGCCCCGGGTGGGTGGAATGGCCTCTTTTTGTGCTATGGATGGGCGGAATGGCCTCTTTCTGTGCCATGGATGGGCGGAATGGCCTCTTTCTGTGCCATGGATGGGCAGAATGGCCTCTTTTTGTGCCATAGATGGGCGGAATGGCCTCTTTCTGTGCCCTGGGTGGGTGGAATGGCCTCTTTTTGTGCTATGGATGGGCAGAATGGTCTCTTTCTGTGCCATAGATGGCCAGAATGGCCTCTTTCCATGCATTAGATGGGCAGAGTGGCCTCTTTCCATGCCAATTTTTTTATCTCTGTGTTCACCAGGGCGAACGGGAAATCAAATGTTACCAGGTAAAGTAGAGAGACCCGACCAGGTTTTCTTTTAATTTATATTATTGGCCTGTGCTTTATTTCTCATCAACCTGTTCAGAGATGTTGATGACTCACGTCTGGAGCAGATGGGACTTGAACCTGGGCCTCCTGGTCCAGGCGCAGGGACACTACCGCGAGAGGACAGACCTTACCAGGTTAGTGCGCAAAGCTCATACCAAAGAGCTGGTAACGTATTGAGTATCGCGTTACTGGGTTAACTCACTAACAGGGTAGCCGCTCAATTTGGAGTCCTGTTCCGAGGTTAGCGTGCTATCGAGCGAGGCCAGAAATCACACAGCACCAGGTTACAGTCCAACAGGTTTATTCGCTTTCAAACCATAAACCTGGTGTCGTGTGAGCCCTGACCTTGGACACCCCCGTCCAACACCAATACCCCCCCTTAATAATTGAGCCAGTTTACAGAGTCATGGAGAATCACTTGATTAACCTCTTAACTTAGGCTCATTAATAAACTTAGTATTTGTTTCTAACGTGTAACATCGACAGCCGAGTTCATAGATCGGTATTGCAATTACCCCCATTAGCTAATTGTTTCGCTTTACCAGGCTAATTAATAGTTTGGGTATGGGATTACCAGGTCGGTGTTGCATTACCCAGGTTTGCTAAATATAGTTTGCACGCTCCGACAAACACTCGAGACGCTCGGCACCGTCCAGGGACAAAGCAGCCCCCTCCCCGGCTTGGATTGGGACCACATCCACAAACACCCCCTCCCTGCGCCACCGATGCTCAGCTAGTAAATAGATCTTTGTGGCTTCAGGTTAACTCATTAACTTGTGTAACCAGGTTACTGACAAGGTAGGAACCGACAGTGTGAGGTTCTCGATGTAGTTAATCAGTGTGGTGTGCCATCTTAACCTGTAACCTGGTATAGCCTGTAACCTAGTATAACCTGTAAATAACCTGGTTGATAGGTTTATTGTGGCCAGCTCGTCAACAATTACCTTCACTCCATGATACGCCTCTTCAATGAACCGGAACTCAGAGACCACAAAGGCCAGTAGGTACGTGGACATCTTTAAGGTACGCTCGAAAGTTGTCACTGCCCATTCCTGGCCGTGGATCCTCAACTCCGAGATTCCTGGAGCCGGCCAGAGTTTGCAAAGTGTATTCACAAGTGAGCGAGCGATGAGAGGGGGTCACAGGGGAGGGATGGAGGGGTAAAGACCAAGGATCATATAGAACATAGAACATTACAGCGCAGTACAGGCCCTTCGGCCCTCGATGTTGCGCCGACCTGTGGGTCCAATCTGAAGCCCATCTAACCTAAACTATTCCATTATCATCCATATGTTTATCCAATGACCATTTAAATGCCCTTAAAGTGGGCGAGTCTACTATTTTTGCAGGCAGGGCATTCCACGCCCTTACTACTCTCTGACATCTGTCCTATATCTATCGCCCCTCAATTTAAAGCTATGTCCCCTCGTGCTAGCCATCACCATCCGAGGAAAAAGGCTCCCACTGTCCACCCTATCTAACCCTCTGATCATCTTGTACGTAGGGTAAAACCAGCACATTCCTACGTTAGTGATTTACAATCGTGGTTACGTTAGGCAGTTCTCGACTTTTGAAGTATGGGCTTGTTTGAGACAGCGTCATCCTTGACAAACAGCTCGTGGAATCTTTGCAGCTTGTGTCCAAATGCAACAGGATCTGGGCAATATCCAGGTTTGGGCAGACAAGTGGCAAGTAACATTCATGCCACACAGATGCCAGGCTATGACCATTGTTAGTAAGAGACAATCTAACCACCGCCCCCCCCAGACTTTCTGCTTTACTGTCACTCAATCCTGCCCCCGCCTCTCCCAGACCTCCAAAATGCACTGGCATCTTCTGGCACTACGATCAACCCGAGCCCAACTCAGAGCCTCCCTCTCCCAAACCTGTAATTCCCACCCCCCCCCCCCCCCCCCCCCCACTATCAACATCCTGGGGGTTACCATTGAGCAGAAACTGAACTGG